CACACACACACACACACACACACACACACACACACAAGCTGTACTTTTATTTGCCTCAGGTTAAATGACAGTAAATAAACGTGCTGATGAAAATACTGAAATATGACACAAAGTGATCACGTGGGTCAAATGTGTTTTTTATAATTAATTCAGAGTTAGTCAAGCATGTCCATATGTGTGACAGGAGTGTTTATTAAAGCAGAAAACAAAGAGCATGCACTCGTCTACAGAGCTCTCCATCCCCGATACAAGAGTCTTTGAGGACGGTCTGAAGATCTGTTTTAGGAAACAAATCCAGTTTGTTGCATGTCCTCAGAGTTTTTATGATTTTCTGCTCGACCAACAGGTTTTTACACAGCTGTGGGGACTGTGGGTGCAACAGTAGTGATGTTACGTCTGAAACTAAAGCCCAGAGGCTCATGTTGATCGAAGGGGGCGTGTCCAAATGATGCTGGGTTTGAGGCTTGTGTTTTGTTTTGTTTTTTCAGAAAATCACGTGACCAAACACAAACACAACCCCGTTTCTATAAAATCATGTGAAGACTTAGTTGTGTGCTTTGAGTTGTTTAAAAGTGAACACACAGAGTTTTGTCATGTGTGACCAGGCCTCTGAAGAGCGTTAAAGGATTGACAGACAGCCTTATAAATAAACTATTTAGGTTGTTTTAAAAAATAATAGTTGAAACACTGAAAAACACAAAGGTCATCATCAATCTGCAGTTTGAGATCAAGTTAACACGACATCTCCCAAAGAGGTAAGATTGTAGATACACATACACACACACACACACACACACACACACACACACACACACACACACACACACACACACCTAGTACTCTTTCTCCCAGTCCACCCAGATCCAGGTAGGCATTCTGGAAGGCTTCTCTCCAGTTTTCATCAAGCGGCTCCTCCTGACCTTGGAACATGATGGTGCTGCATCTGGAATATTTGATGACTGAAGTTATTAAAACATCTCCTGTCAGACCAGCAGTTACTGAACATCACACAATCAAACTAAACTAACGATCGAACTGATAATTTATACAGTATTTAATACATACAGTATTTAATATATACAGTATTTAATATACACAGTATTTAACATATATACAGTATTTAATACATACAGTATACAGTATTTAATACATACAGTATACAGTATTTACCATTAAAGGCTGCAGTGTAGCTGATTTGGTCAAACCTTTTAAAAAGACGTTATGCAACATCCATCCATCCATCCATCCATCCATCCATCCATCCATCNATTTTTTGTAGAATTAACCAGGTTATAACCATTTATCTGTTTCTAAAGTTTATATAGCTGCAGCAGCAATCTTAAATCTTCATCTGCAGGTTGTCTCCAGCAGTTCATGAGATAKTTTGGTTCCAGGCATAAAAAACACACTTTTCCACAGCAGATATAAACAGCTTAATTTATCCTCCAATGCACAGAAAATTAGGACTTCCTGTTTGAAGTAAATTATTATCGTTAAAGCACTCCCTCCGCCTCCAAATATACAACTTTTATTATTTAAGAGGCAAAAGGCTTTTGAGCTGCAAGTGGACAAAAACCTATTTTGTTGTCTTAAAAGACACAAATTATCACCAGACCTTACAGAAACCCAGTCATTTACATGAGCTTCAGTCGTAAAGTGGCGACACGCCACACGTCTGACTCCGATGATGGCAGCACATAATTGTTACCTTTGGCACTTTTAAAACATATGCCAGGTTTTTTTTCTCTCTGTTGTCAAGATGCTGACATTTACTGAGTCAGAACAGAAGATGGTTCAGGTAATGACTTCCTACCTCAGAAGGTGTCTGACATTTCACAAAGAAAAATATTTTTTTTATTCTGTTTTCTTGTATTTTAGCTGAGAATTTGACCCGGACTGGGACTTCCATTTCCAGAAGAATGTTTTTTCATGACACAGCAAATCTGATGATGATAATGTCTCTGACCATGTCTGTGGGAGTTCGTGTGTCTGTTAGCAAAATATCTCATGAACCACTGGAATTATTTTAATGAAACTTCGAGGAAACCATCAGTGGATGAGTATTTATATAGTATGTATCAAAGACGAATGAATTAAAAATGTGGTGTGGTAGTAGCTGAGAGTCATCCTCTGTTACAAGGTTACACCTGCAGCTCTGTCTAATCTTAGACTTAAAGTATGATCTGAAAGGTGTCAGATTCATTCGTTTGACTTGAGCTGTGCTTCCTGCTCCTCTCTGCAGCACCTTCTGTCTTCCTGTTGCAGCAAGAGCTTTCTGCACCTTTTTATGGAGACATTTTCAGCAAACTGCTCTGTTTACTGAGAAGATAATAAAAAAGGTAAGTGCTGTGTCCAACTGCTGCTCCTCTCCGCCTACTCCCAGACACACACACACACACGCACACACACACACACACACACACACACAC